GCTGAAACTTTGGCCACCTACTGTGAAGAACCAACTCATTTGAAAAGACCCTGATAGTGGGAAAGATTGTAGGCAGGAGGAGAAGGGGATGACAGAGGATGAGATGGTTGAATGGCATCACCGATGCGATGAACATGAGTTTAAGCAAGCTTTGGGAGTTGGTGATGGACAGGGAAACCTGGCATGCTGCAGTCTATGGGGTTGCAAAGAGGAGGACATGACTGAGTGACAGAACTGAACTGATCTTTTGATACAACAACCTAGAGACTTCTCCAATGAAATGAGTATATATGTCCACAAAAAACCTTATACAAGAGTGTTTGCAGTAGCTTATTCATAAAATCTCCAAACCAGAAACAACCCAAATGCCCTCAATAAGAGAACGGATAAACAAATTGTGGTATAGCCATATGATGGCATTCTACCCAACAGTAGAAAAGCACCACTACTACTGAAACAGTTCACAACGTGGAGGAATCTTGTAGACATTGTGATTAGTGACAGGAACCAGGCATAGAAAAGCACATACAGTGGATTCCATTCGTATGATGTTCAAGAGCAGACAGAACAGTGTCTTTTCAAATTTAGTTATTTAAGGATGAGTGGGGGTGAAAATTGACTAGAAGGAGGCACAGAGAACATTCTGGAGTGATGAAAATATTTTATATTTCTATCAAGTTGTTGATTACATGGGTAAATACTTTTTGTCAAAAGCCATCTAGTGAAAAATTTGCTTCCATTAATAAAAAAACACAACCCATTACATTTTGCAGATGTAAATTCTTATGTTACAGCTTCTTGGGGCTAGAGTCCATGCTAGGTCCTAGATGTCCTTCGCATGGTCATACCCTTTGCAGTTTCCAAAGTACCTTCCTAGCCCTGACTTCAAATGCTCCTCACAGGCTCCTTTGCAAGGAACCAGGGCTGCCTGTGGAGGAGGCAATAGAGCCGGGACCCAGGGGGCACACACAGAACCAAATGTGATACAGGACTTTCTCCCACCACTGCCCCTGTCTTTTGCAGGGACAAAGAGTTAAGGAGTGAGCTCCTCGTCCCTGGAGGTATTCAAGTCAGGGTAGGTTGATAATATGTGAATGTTGGGTTAAACTCAATGACCTAAATAAAAACCTCACTAGCCTGAGAGGCTGCCAATAGGGAACTTGCCTGGGGACAGAGTGAGTCAGCTTCCAGTTCAGTGTTCTGACTCTAGATCATCTTGGGTTCTGCTGTTCCCAGTTAACGACTCTGTAGCCCCTGCAAAAACTCAGCACTGGCCTGGGTTGACCTGCATCCTGAAGGCATCCAGATCTGTATTCAGATGTCTGGGACAGGGTTATTTTGCCCTAGGGACTCTGATTTCTGGGATTTGCTCTGCCCTTTATCCTAGGACTCCTGACCTTACCTTCCAGTGGTACTTATAATATACTCCCATGTCCTCTGGGACAGTATTTATTCAGCAATAAATATTAGATATTTTTGAGTTTGAAGACTACACTGCTGTTATTTATTTATTTTTTTTTTAAATTTTGGCCGTACCAGGAAGCATGTGGCATCTTAGTTCCTCAACCAGTGATCGAACCTGCACACTCTGCATTGGAAGCACAGAGTCTTAACCACTGGACCACCAGGGAAGTTCCAACAAGAAATAATCTTGAATAGATGAATGTATACTTATGGAAACTGGTAAATAGCAAAGAATCCAAAATATGAGAAAGAAAGTAATTCTACTATAATAACCATTTTTTGTATCATGGGGAAGTGAGGAGAAGGAAGTTGGGAAAACTGGAAGACCCTGGATATTCCATATTCTTAAAGATGCCTGTATAATTTCCATAGTATTTGCATTGTGACTGTTTGTTCCTCCCAGACTTGCATATCCCAGAGATGGGGAGCTCACTCCCTATCATCCACAGGAAGCTTTAGCAGTGAGAGCGGCCTTCTTCACCAGGCTTGCAGCAGCCTCCTGTGCCTGCCCCACACCCCTGACTCCAAGGGGTCTCCTCTCTGCACCTAGTCTTTGAGCAGGCAGAGTTGGGAAAGGCAGCTGTGAGTCTAGGAGTATGGTTAGTTCAGAGTTCACTGTCCTTCCCTGGGCCACACTCAACTCTGCAGGTTCCCTTCTTCTGGCATCTGCCTCCAGCCCACCCAACTCCAGCCTGTATTCACCGCTGCCAGAGCCACCTCCACAAACTAGGCTCTTCTTCTGCTTCTGCTGCATCCATGCCTCCCAAGTCTCCTCTTTGCCTCTTCTTTCGACTCTGGTGGCCCCTAGTCTGGCCACACCGGCCTATCCAGACCTAGCAGTTCAGGCAGTTAGTCTGGCCCAATCTAACTGGTCTAAAGGCCACCTTAACTCTTCCACAACCACACCTCCTGTCCACAGAATGTTCCTGCCTGCCACCAGGGCATTCATGGCCCTTCAAACCCAGGATGAACTGTCCCCCTTCTCTGGTTCTTTTAAAGCTCTTCCTCCAACTTGGGCTTCTTCCAGCTCAGCGAGGCTGGTGTCTCTACTGGACCAAGAGTTTAACAAGACTCTGAACATATCTGATGGGTACCCCCGATGGATGGCACAGTCTACAACTGTGGCCTCAAAGGACACAGAGCACAAGCTGCCAGATCAGCATCAGACCCGCCCTAGCTCTAGCCCCGCAGAGGCTCCTTCCCTCCAGCCCTGCAAGTGGTGTGATACAAAAGGAAACTCATTTGGGTGAGCCTGGCATGCAAACCCTCCTCTGCTCTCAGTCTCCTGCTCCCCAATATCTGGCCTTCCTTCTGAAACCCTGGAAGGGGAGGTGGGAAAGATAAGGCCTCTCCCAGACTACTGGAGGAGTGCAGACCCACCCTCCCCCAGGAGCAGCTGCCTGTCAGGGGCCACAAGGCCAGGAGAGATGGGCCAGCCTGAGATGGAGCCCCGTGTTCCTGGGGCCGGCCTGGAGGGATGAGGAGCATCACAGCCGTGGTAATGGCTTCTGACTTTAGAACATGCTAAACAAGGGTTCAAAGCTCCTTCCTCGTGGCTATTCTGCAAGGCCTAGGAAGTTTACTGTGTCTGTAAGAGGTGGCCCTTGTGCCTTTAGAAGCATTTCATACACACCAGCTGATAGACTCTGCACAGATTTTCTGCAAGGTCAACAGAGGTCAGGCTTTTGTCTTCCTTTGAACAGAGAGTGATAACGAGACTCAGAGAAGCTAAACAACTTACCCAAGTTTGCTAATCAAGAAAGCAGAGGGGGACTGACCTTCTGAGTTTTCTGCCTTCTCTTCCCTCATAGGCCCCCTCATATACCTACCATTCCTGGCTCTGCCTCCCTTTCATAGAGTCTGCAAAAGAGGCCCCCACCTCTGTGAGCCCATTCCCCAAGGTGAGGGAGCTCCAGCCAGCCCACTTGAGTCCTATTGACGCTCTACGTGTGGCCCACGTCCAGGGAGAGGGCTGGACCTCAAGTTCTTGGAGGACTTTCAGGTAAGGTGCCTCTGCTTCTGGGAGGAAAGGAGCCCACTCTGGGCTCTCTGGAGACCCAGGGCAGGGCCCAGACCCTCAGCCTCGGGGTTGGGAGGAGGGCCCTCTGTCTGTCAGTCACATTGACATTTCTTTCATTTGCTCCATCTTTCCTTCCTCATAACTCCCATGAGAACAATGGCCATTCACTCTGTAGCTCAAACATTGTCAACTTCTCCCAGAGGGCTCAGACCCTGGCATTTCTCCTTAGTCCTTCTCCGCTTCTGCCCTGCACACTGCAGCCAGCCAACCTTGCCCCTCCCTGAGCGCCCCATCTTCCTTCACATCTTCTCAGCATCCCAGCGCTGTTCTGCTATGTGCACGGCTCTTCCTCTCTGAATGCCAGCGCCCTCCTGGCCATCCAAGGCCTGTCTGATGTTCGGGACTTTCCTGATGGTCCAGTGGCTAAGACTCCGTGTTCCCAAAGCAGTGGGCCTGAATTCAATCCCTGGTCAGGGAACTGGATCCCACATGCTGCAACTAAGAGTTCGCACGCTGCAACTACAGACCCTGCATGCCACAACTAAGACCCAGTGCAGCAACCCTCCCCAAAACAAACAAAATAGTCCACTGTTAGAAGCCCTTCTCTCCTCCTCTGGGCCTGTACCCCTCCTGAGCACAGATTACAGGCATCTGGAGGTCTGTGTGTCTGCCTTCTCCCTGCCCTCTTGTTGGGGAATCCTGGGGCCAGGACTGGGTCCCAACTTCTCAGGATCCCCCATCCGTGAATGGGGAGGGCCTAGGCCAGAGTGGGCACTGGCGATGACTGACAAATTGAATCTGCTTCCTCTGGATCACAGGTTGTGCTCAGTCATTTCCAACTTTGTGAAGCCATTGGGGTGCGCCTGTCAGGCTCCTCTGTCCATGGGTATTCTCCAGGCAAGAATACTGGAGTTGGAGTATTCCTCCAACTTGGAGTATGCCCTCCTCCAAGGGATCTTCCCAACCCAGGGATTGAACCCAGGTCTCCCACGTCACAGGTGGATTCTTTACCGACTAAGCCACCACAGAAACCCAGATTAGTAGAATACATACAGCAGAAGGGCTTTGGGGAAACTTCAACCCCTGCATTCATGTCCAGACAGGGAAGTTGCAGCCCAGAGAGGGGCAGGGACCCACCAAGCTCACACAGCAAGCTAGAGCCAGACTCTCTGGCTTTCCCTTGTCCTTGTCTGACCTTGACCCCACCTGCCAAAGTTCCCCCTTGAGGAGACAGGGAAACATTCTTATTGTCTGCTAACTTCTTCTTCCTCCATCCAACTGCAGCCCCCTACTCATGCCCTCATTCTTTGGTTGAGCCTCTCTGGGCCACGCAGGGAAGAACACACGTCCCACTCCAGGGCTTATCCTATTTAGTGATCATCCAAACCCTTTCTTTCGTTTCCTAGATGGAGAGACTGAGGCTCAGAGAGTGAAGCAGCCTGCCCAGGGTCACACAGCAGAGTGAAGCCCAAAACGGCCACTGGCTCAGTGGACAGAGACCCGACCTCCGACTTACCTGGTTCCCAAGTTTTCTTGGGTGGTCCCCAGGCTCGCATCCAGCAGGCTCTCCTGCGGGGCTGCTCTGCTGTCCGGCATGCTGGGGTTCTAGGGGGGACAGCTGCGTCCAGCTCCAGAACTGTGTGGCACCAACCTCAGGCATCTGCCAGAGAGAGCGGTCTCCCTCTGCCTGGGAGGTTGGCCTTGACGGGGCAGGGGGGCGGGCCTGGGGCTGGGGGAGGCGGCGACTGGAGTGGCCCAAAGAGACCCATTTCCTCTCCATTTTTAGAAACTCAAAACACTCCTCAACGGTGAAATTGCTCAAGATTAAAACTTTCCTTTTCTTTGTGGTTTTGTTTTCACTCAAGACGAGAAGAATTTCAATGAAGCCAGTGTTCTTTTTCATGCAAATCTGCTCTGGTTCTCCCAGGAAGTCTGGCCAATGGGCTCAGGGCTTCTGGGTCCCCAGAAAACCTCCTTACTGGCTTTAAGAGGCCATGTCAGAGCACAAGGGGTTCTCAGCACCAGTCTGGATTCAGATGCTGCAGTAGCTGCTAACCTCACCCTGCAAACCTGCCTCACTGTCAACACAGCACCCAGGAAGGTGTTGTGTCTCAGCCTACCTCCCCAAGGCTCTGCGCTGAAGGCTGGAGCTCTGATCAGGACTCATGGCTCCTGCCCTCAAGGAACGCCAGTCTGAGGGAAGGAGAGACATTGTCAACCCTGAGGACTATCGTATAGTTGACAGAAGCATTTGCACGGAAGCAGATGTAATAAAGGACCCAGGGGCATGACCACCAGGGCCACCTAGTAGAAGTGTGATATGCTCCTTCAGCTAAAGGAAAGAAGGTGTTGATGGTGGGTTTGCAGGCATCTGTAAACAGACATGGGAAATTCACGTAGGGCAGGGCGAACTGAGGGCTTTCTCGGAATACCAGGAATCTCCTCCCTTGGGCTGTCCTTGCCAGAACAAAGTACCGTGAACTGGGTGGCTTAAAAGAGAAATGTATTCTCTTACAGTTCTGGAGGCCAGAAGTCTGAAATCAAGGTGTCGGCAAGGCCTTGCTCTAAAGGCTCCAGGAAAGAATCTTTCTTTTTCTCTTCTGGCTTCTGGCTCCCAGCAATCCTTGAGGCTCCTTGGCTCATAGATGCATCTGTCCAATCTCTGCCTATGTCTTCACATGACTGTCTTCCCTCTCTGTGTCTTTGCCCCTATATGCCCTTAAGGACAATAGTCATCAGACCAGGGCCCATCTTCATCCAATATGACATCATCTTAAAAAATTATATCTCTAAAGACCTTATTTTCAAATCAGGTCACATTCCGAGGCTCTGGGTGGGCATAACTTCATGGGGAACATGATTCTGCTGAATATAAACTGTCTACAGGAGGCATTGGTGGAGATTCCTGCGAGATGTCCCCAAAAGTGGTTAGTAGGTTCAGCTGGGTCACAGGTAATGCTCTCTTAACCGGTGGATGCAGGTGGCTGAGAAAGAGTTTGTCAGCATTCATGAAAATTCATGGACCCCAGGGTGCTGTCTCCCAGTACATTGAAGGCACATTAGACAGGAGGCCTGAAGTCTGGCTTTGAGGCCTGAATCTTCCACTCACCTCTTCTCCCTGTGACCTTGGGCAGGCCCGCTGTCCCTCTCTGGGCCTCGAATTGACTATTCGGATCACAAGGGTGATGGCTTGGAGGGTGGCCAAGGTGGCTGCCAGCTCCAACTGGACATGAGAAGGTGATGGGCCAAGTCATGCTCATGGGCTGACTGGTTATGCCGAGAGGGACGTCATTATGAGTGCTAAGTGGCGAGTCCCCACCCAAGGGGATACTGAATCAGAGAAAAAAGACATCTAATTCTTAAGCTCAAAAGCTTTGCTTAAGATGAAAGCCTGAAAAGGTTTGGAAAGATGTACAATGTGGCAGAACAAATTCTCCCTCCCCCAACCCCGTCCCTCAGATTCTTAGGGATCTTGAGAGCCGAGAAGGGAAGAGACTTCAAAAAGGAAGCCAGACCCTGAGTGGGGCTCAGAGAGCAGCTCCCTAGGGTATATTTCCTGAGCAGTAAGAAGGGAAGGAGTTAGTAGGGCCTGAGGCTTCCCAAGAAAGTGACAAGGCCCTAGAGGATGCTGCACAGGCCACAGAGGAGGAGATGGTCGGTCCCCGGGCACCAGAACCAAGAGGACCTGGGCGGCCCCCCTCAGTGCATCAGTGGAGCAGTGGTCCACATGAGCAGAGGGCAGGGTCGGCGCGCTGGCCACAGAGGCTGACGGGAGAATGGGCACTCAGTGGGCCCGGCGGGAAGGGTTGACCCCACCTGAGGCCCCAGGACCACAGATCTCGTACAGAAGGGGTGGGACAGGGAGCAGCAAAGTCTGGTTTCGCTGAGCTTTAAAAACAGCTACCTAACTTCATTTGAAAAAGTGTCTATAACCATGTGCTGGTTAGCCTGCCTTTGCCACGGATTCCCTCTCCATGGGCTCGGTCCCCCGGGAGCTGACCTGTATGGGCATCTCCAAGGCCCCCTGGCCTCTGGTCGAGTTAGGCCAATACAGACAGCAGCGGAACGGAGGGCCAGTAGAAAGAGGTTGAGAATTTGATTCCTCTTGCTCTGTCCCTGCTGGCTGCAGTATTGGCAGCGGCTTCATCCTGGTCCTGGCAGCTGAAGGTCCTGTCTGACCTCCTGCCCAGACGGCTTGGGACCTCAGGAGTGGTCCAGCTCCCTGCTGTGGCCTTCCCATTGTTTGTGGCCCCCTTAACTCGGCCCTCCCCTCTCTAACTGCCCCTCTGAGTGGGCCATCTCTTTCTTATGAGGACCCTCACTGATAAAGCAAGAATATAAAATGTACAAAGGGAGTTGATTGTCTAACCGGCACAAAGTTTCCTTTTTGAGGGATGGAATGTTTTAGAAGTAGATAGAGGTGCTGGCTACACAAAACGGTGAATGCACAATATGACACAGAATTGTGCACTTTTAAATCACTTTATGTGATTTTTTTCTCAATAAATTTTTTTTCTTAAAAGAGGCACAGAGAACTTCACAGTGAAAAGTGTGAAGTTTCCTTCCATCCTTCTCCCTCCTTCGCTCACCCATTTCTTCTCCCAGAGTCACCACTGTTAAAACTTGTTCTTGCATCATTCTAGAAGTATTCTAGGGGCTTCACCTGTGACTTAGAGGTAAAGAATCTGTCTGAAGTGCAGGAGACATGGGTTTGATCTCTGGGTTGGGAAGATCCCTTGGAGGAGCGCATGGCAACCCACTCAAGTCTTCTCGCCTGGAGAATCCCACAGACAGAGGAGCCTGGCAGGCTGCAGTCCATGGGGTCACAAAGAGTCATGACTGAAGCAACTGAGCACACAGGCATGCAGAAGTATTCTAGACATATGCAAATGATAACACAGCATACAGTTTTGTATCTTGTTTCTCATACTCGACAATGTTCCCTGGTGAACCTTTCCTACTGTATTGAGGGCTTCCTAGTTCTTTTGTTGGGATGTACAGCATTCCATGGATGGTCTGGCCGGCATGCATTTAATCTGTCCTGTGCAGTGAACATTGAGGTTGTTGTCAGTCTTTTGCTGAAACAAACAACCTTATTTCTGCACCATATGCACTTGAGTTGGTCTAGCTCTAAGATAAATCCCTAGAAGTGGAACCACTCGGACTTGACTTAAACTGGAAAATGATAGTTTTTTTGTGTGAAATGGATACATTAATTATTCTGTCATAGGAGGAACGGGGGGGACGGGGAAGAGATTTTAAAAATTCATGGAGTTACAGAAAAATAAAGTTTTGATTTTGCCTACATGAGTTTGTTGACTGGGAATATCTGTTCCTTCTGTGTGTGTGTGTGTGTGTGTGTGTGTGTGTGTCTGAGGCTAAAATGTTTTCTGCATCAGCTGGAGAGCTCTCCTCTTGCTCTGGCTGCGTGGGGGGCAGGGGGAAGTGGTTGCTGGCTGAGAACTCTAGGGATCTCTAGGATGCTCTGGGGGCCAAGGGCATTGCATTGCAAGGAGGGCCCAGGATGGTACGGGTGTTCTTAACTAGACTCTGGGAATCCCCTTGAGTCACAGGCAATGTTGTGTGTGTGTGTGTGTGTGTGTGTGTTTGCCCTTTTTTTTGGAAATGGCTCCTAGCTCTTTGTAGACCCTCAGAATCTGTATCTGACAGTGAGGAACCACAGGAAGTGGGAAACCAAAAACTTCGCATTTAAACAGATCTGGGTTCAAATTCTGCATCTTCTGCTCAAGACCTGCATGACCTTGGGCTAGGGCCCTACCTCTCTGAGCCTGCGTGCATGCGTGCTAAGTCACTTCAGTCGTGTCCAACTCTGTGCAACCCTATGGACTGCAGCCTGCCAGGCTCCTCTCACCAAGAGATTCTCCAGGCAAGAATACTGGAGTGGATTGCCATGCCTTTCTCCAGGGGATCTTCCCAACCAAGGGTCAGGCCTCTCTGAGCCTGAGCTTTGTCATAGTGATGGGAGTCAGTAATCAATGCTTCTTAGAGTTGTGGGTAAGGACTAGAAGGCTGGGGAGACGAGGTGAGTCGGGGCTTTCTTGAGGCACTGCTATATTTCTGATGATAATCTGGTGCCTACTTCTCTGCCTCCTTCCTTCCCCCAAGGGCCTGGTGGGCATCACGTTCCCTCCGCTGGTCCACACTAAGGCAGAAACAGAGGTTCCCAGAAACATCTGACCTAGATCATGTTGATGCAAAGGAGTGCACAGAACCAGTTGTTCCTCCCCCTGAGATTAGATAAGAAAAGAGAGGAGGTGGAGTGAGAGTTGAGAGGGTACACAGGAAGGGAGGAGCTAGAGGGATTCAGGACAGGGTTTGCTGATGGGGGAGCCCCGACTCCATCAGATGTGGATGACCAGCCTGGGTGTCCTGGGCCCCCGTGAGCCTCCCTGAGCAGTGGGTCTCAGATCACACACCTCCCCCGCCCCAGCCAGGGCTGAGGCCTCAAAGGCCTTGTTCTGAGTGAAGTCTGAATGCATACTGCACTCTGCCAGAACCGTCTAAGGCTTATGTTATCAGAACAGAAGCCAAAGTCCTCACGCTGGGCCACAGGGCTCCCTGACCTGGCCCTGACC